TCGATCAATCCAGACATGTCTCAGATACGGATCCAGAACTGAATTCTTTAAAACAAAATGGCCGCCAGTCGGCTATTTCGAATCCGATCCAAAAAAAAAAAAGGACGTGCATCAAGGTCCTATTATGTTTAATGTATGTACCAAATTTAAACAAAATCTGTCCATGCATAACTGAGATCCGGGTCCGGAATGGTGAAAATGTGCGATTTTGATGCATTTTCGGCCTTAAAATGGCCGCTATTCGGCTATCGTTAATCGGATCATGAAAAAAATGCATGTGCATATGTCCCATATAATGTGTGATGTATGAGTGAAGTTTGAACTTAATCGGTCCATGCATGTTCGAGATACAGGTGATCACGGACGCACGGACGCACACAGGGCAAACCATAAGTCCCCGTTTTCGGACTACGTCCGAACGGGGACTAAAAAGTCAGGGACCGATGATCGCAACAGCAGCGGTGAATACTCGTTCAACGCAATGCCGTCAGCTGACAATGTTACGGTGATCGTAGCGTTACACAAATAATAGATAGATCAATGAAAAATCGCTGACTTTAGTTTTGAAATGCCGTTGTAGAAAAAAATGTCATTATTGATTTATTAATTTCTTCATACAGATTTTACAAATTTAACAAACAAATCCCCCCCCCCCCCCGGCTATAAATATTTCCATTTCTTTCCTGTTCTATTTCAAACTTTATTTGACTCGATGCACACATAAAACACAATGAATGTAAATGATAACAAATATATGAGATATGTATCTCTTCTTTATTTCAGTTATAATGTTTGTTGGGGAAACTAATTATTATGCAAACAAAATTATGAAAATAAGATGTATTGTTATGTAAATCAGCGGCGATGCTTGGCTTAGAGTCTGGGGAGAACACTGACTAGGTATACACAAGAAGAAGTCGAAAATAGAATTTTTGACCAAAAATGACCATTTTAAAATAGTCTGAACTGAAATCAGGTCGGGTCGTAACAGCCAATTTTTTTCATTATTTTTGCCTTAAGTTTCTACATTTCTACTGTCGATGGGTCCCGAAACTATTTCATCAATTATTTTGAGGTTGATGATCCGAAATTGGTCGATTTCACGACGAAAACCACGTGAAATGAGAAAACTATGACGCCTCGTGGTGTCACGATAACTTATTTAAGATGGCTGCAAACACTGGGATTTCGCTGTAGTTTTCCAGGGTTTTCAGACAGACAGACAGAGATAGATAGACTGACGACAGACGCAGGACAGAAACCTATCCCATAGGCTCAGCAGACCTATGGTCCGATGAGCCACAAATGGCGATTTAACGCTTTTACAGGAAATTTGGACGTCAGTCAGCCATATTGAATTGAATCACAACAATAATGTTGGTACAAATGTATCCTTTGGTATACTATCTTTGTACAAAATTTAAACAGAAACGTTCATGGTATTCAAGATAAAGTAGCATGGGTACCATGAAAAACAAGATGGCCACCAGTCGGCCATATTTGTTCGAATCACGAAGAAAAAATGACGTGCACCTACAACCCAATATGTATGATCATCATACCAACTTTGATCCAAATCGGCCCAGTCATCTCCGAGACTGCTGAGGACACGTTTAGGTATCAGAAATAGCAAATTTTACATCCAAAATGGCTGCCAGTCGTCCATTTTTGCGCCGAGTTAAAGTTACTTGACACGCATATGCAAGACATTATGTATTGTCTTCATGTAAAGTTTGAATGAAATCCGTCAATGGGTGTCCAAGATATACCGTAGCTCCAGACTTGCAGACTGACAGAACAAACCCAAATTAATGTCCGAACGAGGACTAAAAATAACAGTTATACTTACAAACTGTCCTTCGTCAATTCCTATAACATCATATTTCATGGCAGTTTTCCTCAGTGGACATAGCTCTGTTGCAGACACTGCTGCTTTCACTTCCCTGTTAATTTAAAAGGATTTATTAAAGATTTATTTTCCAGCTGTATTGTATTTTATTCTCGTACATTTCTTAAAATTGTTACTCTCATTTCTTGGTATGTCTAAACTATTTTGACACTTATTCTTTGTAGATTTAAAAATGAGCAAAACAATAATGAGTCACAGAATTAATTTTAACACAAATCACATGGTTATATGGCAGCCATTTTGTTCTTTGTTAGCTGATGGTTATTAACAGTTTCGTCTTCTAATTTCGCATATGCCTCGAGAGTCCAGGAGCATTGGTTTGTTGGAATTCAAAGTGCCAAATTCGAAAAAAACGCAGCTGGCAATTTTGCAAAGAAAACTGAGAAATGAGAACGCGTCTTTTCCTGACCGCACTGTAAAATTCACCAATGACATTTGCAAAGAATCTTCAAAGTGTAATACAAAATTGATATCAATAAACATTTTGAGATTTACAGTAAGTATGGTCTTACCTATCATGTGTCGCTATTCCATTCTTATCGTATCTATCATCATTTGCATACTTTACAATAAGGCAACTATGATTTGCAATTTGAAAACGTTTTATTCTTCGGATTAATTCAGTCCTAAATTGAGAAGAAAAAAATTTGAAAAAACACATCACTGACATTAATGAGATTTTTTCATTGACAATGAAGCCTATGACCACAAGATCTTCCCCTTATGTCACAAACCACGTGACTGAGGTAATGAGGCGGTGCCATATTGGCTCCCCAATCAGTTTCGTTTTTCTCTGCCTAAATTTCAATTATAAATCTCAGTTAAAATCTTGTTGGTTTTCACTGTAAGGACCACACACTGAAAGCCAAGTAATATGAGAATTTTATTCTCAAATATTAATCAACCACTATTCATAATAATAATTATTAATTTGTATTTCAGTACCAAGAAAGCTGAAATTTCTGTTGGCAACATAAAATGTTAATTATGTTATTGGTTTAGAATGTTTAGGTATGTACTTACGTTTTACCTGAAAACATTGGTCCAAATATAACCTGAAAATAATAATGTGTAAAATAATTGGTGTTAATTCAGAATGTAAAGGGATGTGTAGTTCGCTTAAAAGCCAAGGACATTTATTTTGTTTGGGGAATGGTGGTCAAGGAAGCTATTTGCCAAGGTGCTCAACAACTACATGTTGCTGTTGGGATGAAAAAACAGTATTGGTAACATACCATTTCATACATACATGTTAATATATATGTTAATGATGTATTATACAATTTTTGGTTTGTATGTGCTTCTAATAGAGCAAATACAATACATATTTTTCACTAATTGTGTGAAAGTAGTACCAGGCATTTTCATTATTTTTGGCCGTCTTGATCATAGTGTTTTTTTTTAGCTTGGATGAACAATAGAGCTTAATTACCATAACAATGAATAGAACAGGTGATAGCAATATTCGCAGTATAAGTATAAGAACAGTCCATTTATGAAGGGGCGGTGATCTAAGCTTGGATTGTTGGTTCATTTCTATGGTTTCATCATTATCACAGGTGAAAAATAAACCTAAGTTATCTTCAATTAATTTAAATTAAAGTAAGGGTATCTCAATGTAATATTCCCGAATTAAAGACCAACATTGGCAATAAAATAATGAAATTCAAGTCCAAAATCAAATCGTTTTATTTTTTTGACGTCCGGACTACTCCTATCACGCAATACGCAAAATATTGCAATGACAGAAAGTGGCTCAAGACTAATCTGACTATTTATTTGGTTGACCATTAAAAACTTTGGAGGGTGGAACATTGAAAAACAAATTGCAATGGAAAAATGATTCTGCAGGGATCAATAATGCTCCAGTCAATGCCAACCCGACCCCTCCCACCTCGGGCGATGCGGGACAAATGTGGGGCATTAGACGAGGTTCACCGCCAAACTGTGACCATGGAGGTGGGGTAATAGCAGTGTTTCATGTCACGTCATCGATAACAACGTATGCGTATCAGATAGAAAGCATAGCGGACAGTGGCGATCGGTGGGGGAAATGTAGGGGGATTTGCCTATCCTTCTTGCCCTTGGAGGTGGGGAGGGTTGGGGGTTGACATTGACTGGAGCATAACAAAATATATTAGCACAAAACTAGAGGGAGAAAATATTTCCATAGTTTTTCAGCCATCACCCCACCCAAAGTTTGTCCATTCCTTATTATTTTTTTTCTCTGCTTTCAACGATCGCTACTTTCAATCGAGAAAAAATAATTATGAATAGTACTTATCAAATTATTTGATTTTTCATCCATCAAGTGACTTTATTTTTAAGTGAAAATAACGTCTGAAAATGACCTGCAAATTAGCAAGCAAGAAACCCGCTATTTTTTTTTTTTATTATTGTGTATTATTTATGTGACCACGTCAAGAAGAAATACAATATTCTATTCGCTCTATACTTTGGACAAATTGGGTAATCATATTTGCATTTCGAAAACTTTTAGAAATCGCGGGGTACCAGCTTTAAATCCCTTCTACATTTAGCGGGAAACCCCCTCATCCTTATTCCTGTTCACAGAAATCTGAATCAAGAGCAGATGTTTGTGCGTTTCACCAGAAATCGACAACAAATCCTAATGACCTACCTGTATTTGTCCCTTTTTGGACGAACATATCACATCTGAAGTCGTTATGCATGACATCATCGTGTAAAAAATCAAATGCACTCAGAAAATCCGAGAAAGTGATGAAAAAATGAAGATGACCGCCGCAACAGCTCACAGATCTAGGGTCACAATCAGGAATAGACGCGGAATACGAATTTCGCGGCAAAATAAAGTCTCGCTGTAATCTCACGAGACGCGCTACTGCGTTGGGTCACGTGTTAAACCATGACAACACGGAAGGAAAGCATCATGGCGGACGATCAGGTAAATATATTATTGCCTTGTTATTATTTGTGAGCTCTGTCGAAAAATACATCTTGTATTTGTAATTTATTTCGCAAACGATAGTTAAATAACTATTCGTCGTACTATTTCTGTATTCGGAATTTCGTCTGTTGCTCACAATAAAAGTATTGCTGCTGTCAACACTCACCGATCCAAATAATATGACTGTTGACATTTACAGTTCTACGTCCCTTGTTCTAAATATCGGTTCAAAGACAGCTCGAGCTCAGTGTATAATCAGAGTATATCAGAGCTTGATGTTCAATACAGATTCACATAACTGGTGCCAATTTTAAAATTTTGGGGGAGATTTGTTAAAGTTTAGAGTTAAAAACGATTTTGTTTTCATTTAATTGTTTATAGTAATGGGGGGGGGGACACACAGACCACTATCTCATTAAAATCATGGGGGAGATTTGTTGAAGTTATAAGTTTTCATTTAATTTGTTAATAGTAATGCACCATATCCACCGTGACCCACCCCACCCCAAACTAAGTGCATGAACTGCAGAAATCAAGTTAGTTCATTGGTGGGTGGTATTCAAGATTTAGCCGTTTAGATGTTTAGCCGTTGATCAAAATGACTCAAAGCACTATTCAAAATTGAACTATTTTAAATCCGTTGCAAGAAACAGATTGCATTATTAATAAACAACATTCTGACAATGTTTTATCATAAATGAGCAGCTGATTTTGCTTCTCGTAATTTTCTTATAAACAAAATGGCGGCACCCATTGACCACAGAAGTGCACCATTTTCAATCTCTTAGGGTATATAGGTATCTTCCACACTCTTCTATACATACACATGTTATCTATAAAGCTCACTCCTCCAGTGGCTTTCTGTAATGCTCGCTTTTTATATTCAGCCCAGAAAATATAAAAAAAAGTTACTGTCAATTTTAAAATTTTCATAAAAATTGTGCCTTTAAATTGATTTGTTACAAAAATTGTCCTTTGAAATTGCTGACATACAAATTTAAACGTAAAACAACAAAGTGTATGGCCCATAATGTATTACATTGCAAGGTGAAATATTCCACATAATTTATCATATACAAATTTCACTCCTAAATTTCAGTCTTCTGGTATGATAAACATACACAGTCGATCATTGTAGAACGTCAGTAATTTTATAATTAAATCCTAGAAATTACATAGTGCGAAAATTATGGTAAAATATACACACAAGGAGGAAATAAAATCAATTTTCAATTTCTTCTCTTTCGCAAACTGCAAGACGGTCAATATACTCCCGCTGTACTGTCTTTGTGCATACTTTGAGTTGTTGGTTTCTTCAATGAAATTAGAATTTTTAGTTTACTTCTGACTTTATTTGGGACCTTGTTTTGAAGAATACTATTATACATGTATGAATATCAGAGGTTTTTCTAGAAAAAAAACTGCAAGAGGGAGCACTGCAATTCAGCAGCGCCACTATGTGGTTCTCCCTACCAGAGTGTGTAGTTTTTGATAATTCTAAGTTAAAATGGAGCATTCAATGGATTTCTTGAGGCCAAAATAACTATCTGACAGGTCACAGTTGAAGACTGTGGCCACATGTGATCCTTAGTCAATCAGAATTTTATGGTTGCCAGAGGATCTGCTCCCAATGGTAAGGGGGCACATGGCCATGGCATGAGGGCGCTGTTCCCTTGTCAGTTTAAAAAATTCCCTGAATACTAATATATTTATACATGTTCTATTATTCTAAAATAGAGAAAATTATAATACTTCATATCCTCTTTTGCTGATATCATGTTCAAATATATATTTGGGGAAAAATCTTTTCCTGTCTTGGAAAATCAATGTTGTTGAATTGTAGAGTGAGTGTATCCACTGATATTTTGTGAGTATAGTTTATGGCTGGAATTTTGTAGGTAAATATTTTCTCTTACACACTTCAGGGTTTACAATTTTTGTGTTACAGGCAGCAGCTCCAGAAACAAATAATGAACAACCAATAGAAGCTGAGGAGGTGGCACCACCAGCTGAAGCAACAGAAGAGACTCCTCCTCCTGCTGCAGAGGAAAGTACAGAAAATGATGTTGCTGAGCAACCAGCCACTACATGTATGTATATTTCCTTCAGTATGTCAATTGCTTGCTGGTGTTTATTCAACGCCTGGCTGTACGTTTGACTCTGTATATGGCAAATTAACCAGGGTAAAAATTACCGGGGTATATATAATTGCCTGGTATTCCGAATGAGCATGACATCATTGAGGATGATTGACTTCCTGTATAATGACCATACAACTAGATATGATATAACTAGGAATACTGGGGAATAATATGTCATATCGGTAGATACTACTAATATATACTGGTTATATACCATTTATCCTATTACAAACACTTCTCCAATAGAAGTGGTATATGAACCAAAATTGGATTTACTGTATACTGGATCATGTGACTTATTTTTACCATAGATGTTGACTTTTTTTTTATTGTTTTAAAATTGAAAATACTTTTCATTTATACCATTTCCTGCAATATATAAATAACAACATTTCAGAATTATATTCTTAAATTAGCTGAACAGAAGTGTACCTTCATAAAACTAGTTTTTTTATCAATTGTAGCTGATGAAGCTCCTGTAGTGGAGGACACAGCTGATGTCGCACCAGCTGAAAAAGATGGTCAAGAAACTGAGGGGGAAGCAGCTCCTGCAGCTGAAGATGCTGTAGCAGCTGAGGAACCAAACGCTGAAGCTGGAGGAGAACCCCCTGCTGATGGTGCTGAAGCGCCTGCTGAGGATGGGGAAGGAGAACAAGACAAACCAACTGAAGGTAAAACTGATTAATAATTTCATGGTGATTTCATATTATACAACACTAGAAATGGGGATAAGCTGTCTCATTTATGGTTTATTTCCTAACCAAGCAGTTCAAAATGAATCAATTTCACTAAAATAATTGTGTGACATTAAAACTGATATTGCAGGAGAACCTGCTGCAGAAGGAGAAAAAGTTGATGATGAAGAAAGCAAAGAACCCGAAAAAACAGAGGGAGAGGGAGAAAAACCTGAAGAAGGAGATGTCGAAAAGGAAGCAGGTGAAAAAGCTGAGGGTGCGGAAGGTGCAACTGAAGGAGAGGAGAAACCAGACGTAGTGGATGGCGAAGAGAAACCAGAAGCAGATCAAGAAGGAGGCCAAGCTGTAGAAACTATTCTTGAAGATGAAGAAGGTGAAGTGAAAGAAGAACAAAAAGAGGGCTCTCCAGTTCCACAAAGTGATACATTTGCTGAAGGAGAACGACCAGAGACACCAACTGTTGCAGTCATGGAACCACTATCAAGGGAAGGCACCCCAAGAGGTTCACCAGAACCATTAGATGCTGGAACACCAGAACGCAGAGGTAGCTGTTGTTTTGTATTGTGAATTAAGATTTTGCATTGTCAGATGATCATCTTGTCATCAAGAATGATTTGATCTTCATCATATACATGTACAAAACTGTCTTCCTTTATTTTGTTATACATACCCTGAGATTTCAGTGTCTACCTTACAACTTTATAGCTGTACATGTAACCCTTCAAGTTGAAATAGTATTTATGGATTTTCAAAAATTAACTTCTAATTTGTCAAATTTTAATGACCTGTACATTTCATGACTTTTTAGCATCTCCTGTACAAGAAGAAGATGAGTACTATTATGAAGCAGAAGAAGAAGAAGAAGAAGAAGAAGAAGATGAGGAACCAATGTACTCCAGAGAAGAACTCATAGAAGAATACCAGGTATTTCCCTGCAAACAAATTCCTGATGTACTGTATGAATGCCTGTGCTCGAGACATGAACATACTTTCATAGGGGTTGATGCTAGGATGTGACATACCTTTCTCAGACAAAAATTAAACCCTTGTAAGATTGTGTTGAAAATCATGTACATGTAGTTGGAATTGAAAACAATTTCTGAAGAATATGTAGATTTTCTAAAATCTATTTTCAGCATCTTGGCCAACATAAGAAATGTAGATTTAGTGAACTGAGACATTTATTTTATTTACATGTAATGGTGTACTGAATAATATGAAATGCTGACTGACTATATATGACATCATAAACACGAGTTTTGTATACTGTAGAATACTTTTATTTCGCTTGGAATTTATTTTCGCTATTTTCGCTGAAGGGATGATTCCGTGAAAATAAAATCCAGCGAATATACTTTTTTTCCTATATTTCACATTAATCTCATCAAAAATCAGTGAAAATAAATTCCAAGCAAAACGCCCAAAAAGCCTTTTCAGCGAAAATTAATTCCAGCGAAAATAAAGTATTCCACAGTATAAGCTGTAAGTCTTTGTGTTTTTTCTGTGTGTAACACACGTGTATATTATAACCATTTTGAAATTAATTTTTCATCAGAGTTTGATGTCAGAGAGAGAGCAAATGGCTAACCAAAACTTCCAGCTACAGCACAAACTGGCTGAGTATTTTCACAAAAAAAAGTCTGATGACCAGAGACAAGATATGGATAAGAATGTCACTGACCAAGAACAGAGATATCTTAAATATATGGGTAAGATGACATGTTTTTTATTACCTAAGTTAGATGAACGTATTGTCATTTTTTTGCAAATTGAATTTCCAGGGGAGGGTACTTACCGGTATATAGAGTGTTATGCAAAGTTAAAAAATGGCTCCATATAATTCAAATTTTTTTTAAATTTAAAAATCACACTCCCCTTTTTTTTTATAAAAAAAACTGTTTTTTTTGGCTTTTTCTGATTTCAACCACTGAGTTGTAGATTTCCAAAACAGCAGAGCTATTTCACTTATATATACAGGTAGATATTTTCATTTATCATTGAGGTTCATATACATTGTGCATATACAGTGAACACAAGAAAGAATGGAATGGCAATATTGATGTATGTGACACTGTTTTGCTAACGGAATAGCAACATTACACAAAATGTAATGGAATCCATGGCTATACCGGTATATATCATTCACAAAAACAGTGTCTCAGAATGCAATATTGCTGTTTCATTCTTTCTTGCGGTCACAATAACTAAATTACCCAATTATTATTAGGGTTACACCAGTGTGATGTTGCTGGAAAAATTAATGATTTTATTAATATTTAGTACTAAATTATCACAATTTTTAGCAAATCTTGAGGAATTGCGAGACAAAGACAGTCATCAGAGGATGGACTATCAACAGCAAATTGATGAATTAAAAGATAAAAGACAACAGAAACAAGAACTTGTCACTGAAGAAAACAAAGACTTCCAGGAGTTCAAGAAACAAGTTGCTGTGGCCTCTGTAAACAGTCGATCCGGGAAACCAATTCCACAAAAAGTGAGCATAAGGCATAAACATACTGTATTTCCTGGAATATTCAAACGTTGATAATTTAAGGAATTCACATGGAACACTGTAGAGGGAGGAGACATTCACTGGGGTTAATTAAATAATTTTACTGCATTTGCAGATATTCACTAGGTTTTAAATTCAATGTATTGTGAAAGAAACAATACATTCAATAGGTAAATTTTCGTTCACTGTGAGATCTCACATTGATGATGCATGAAAGGCACTACTGAATGTCTGTCGTAAAAATCAAATTTTTTTTGTATACTGGTAGTTCAATATGTAAATGCCATTCTTTCAGAAGAGAATATGACGTTGAGATACTCTAACTGCATCAAAATTGATATTGGTGTTTGTTTTGCTATTACTTTTGCTTGTTCTGTTTTTAGGTTTGATTTCATGCACATGAGATCTTTTAGTGAGCGGAATATGGTCTAATGTTAACTTCACACACTCACTGGGTTTCGATTTAGCATATTTTAATAATTAGCCAGCAAAATAAGTGTAAATAAAACCCTGCTTATTATTAAGCCCTATGTAGTACATTGTACAAGTCACTGTGACTAGTGCTGTTTGTGAAAGTTTTTGTTGTTGTTTATGGTAAATTTACAAAAAAAATGCTATGTATTATTTTTTGGGGGTTAATCAATTTTGAGTTTTTCAGATGTGCAACAAGATAATTACATCAAAATTATCTGTTTTTCTGTCAAATGTGCCCCTAGGGCACCTTTCAATTTTATTAAAATAAGAATTGTGACATATTTGTATGTTAATTAATTACCATTTATATGCAAATTAGCCATAATGCGGGGACGTTAATCTGCATCACAGCACAACTATATCTTTATAGTGTTCTGTGTATTGTTGGTTGAATACTGTGTTGGTTATTGAACATTTCAAATGTGTTTTTAAATTTGTAGGATATTGAACAATTCTTGGGTCTAGAGATGAAGAAAGAATTGGAAGTAGTTCAAGTAAGATTAGAAAACATAAAACTGAAAAACAGACTGAAAAAGAGAGAACAACAATTGAAAGCAAAAGAAGAACTAGCAGAAGGATTACATCTTATAGATTTTGAACAGTTAAAAATTGAAAACCAAACATATAATGAAAAGATAGAGGAGAGGAATGAGGTAAGTACATCTTTTCAGTGTTTATTGGGGTCTACGTTTACGCACTCAACTATTCTGCATAACCTTGTTAAGGTATTAAGGGACGACGTCAAAAGATCAATGTTGGATAAAAAACTTATTTGCTTTAGTTTGGGGGGTGGGGGTTTTGACCTCAAAAAGTTTCCATCCTACAAAAACGATTTTAATTTTTAAAGAAGTCAAAAAAATCTTGGAGTATTTGTAGTTTTTTGTTTTTTTCTATCCAACCATGGACAAAAATAACAGAAAATGAAAAAAAACATCCAAGACGAGAAAATGGTTTGGTCCGAATGTAAAGTCTTTTTACACCCACCTGACAACAAACTGCTAAGCCATACTACTGTCTGATTATCAATTTGTATTTAATGGTGAATGTAGTCGGACGCCATGGTCAATATTTATTAATTAAGTTTCAGTGGGTGGTAGGGGGTTTGGGAAAAAAGTTTTTTAATTAAGTTTTTTATCCTACATTGAACTTTTGATGTTATCACTAACAGGGGTGAAACATGGTAAAAAATTGAGCTGTAATTCAGACATTTTTCACTTTAATACTAAGTATGCTACAACCTATACATCATCTGAAAGCTCAAACGTAGGCAAATACTGTGATGAACTGACGACCAATTTTGCTATTGTGCTTTTTTTATTATTATTCATGAAATTTAACCGACTGGTGGCCATTTTTGTTGTAAAAAGAATCAAATCACGAAATCATGCCTTGGTTAATTTTATTCAAACTTGGTATGAATAGTCCACAGTTTGTTTTGTGATTTGATTCAAAATGTCCAGCTGGTAACCATTTTGGTTTTATGCAACGGACATGCCTTGACAGATTTGTGTCCTTACAAAATCAGCCAAAATGACCGTTTCATTGACAATGACTTGTTCACTCTGCAGGAGCTTCTCAAACTTAGGAAGAAAATAACAAGCACAGTGCAGGTGTTGACTCACTTGAAAGAGAAGCTACAGTACGTACAAGCAGAGAACCAAGTCCAAAAGGTCCAGTTAAAAGATGTGGAAGCTTTAGTAGCACAGGTAAATTGTAAAACGTTAGCTTATACATAAATTACATAAATTTCATTGCCACATACATAGAGAATATTCAATGAGTGACTGTTTAATATATTTATTAAACAAGTGCAGTAGTATACAGCTTTTTGCAAGGAGCAAAGGAAAATTAGTATTTGAGTTAAGTAAATACATGTACGATATTACACGGTCAAAAATGTTGATATTCTGTTTATCACATGTATGTATTTTCAGCTGTTTGGCCAGCAGAAACTAAAATTGAATCGTTATTTGTGTTTGCATGTCCTAAGCACCTTAGCAAGTTCTATTCATTAGCATAAAGCAGCGACAGTTCCTTGAACATGTGTTGAGACAAATTTATTTGCTGTTATGACACAAAAAATTCGTTTTTGGAACCATCAATGTATTTACTGTTATAGACATATTGGCAAAATTTTAACTAAATTTTGGGAAAGCTTTACCAGCGGCCTTCAGGCATCTCACTGTAAATTGGCAAGCAGTAGTGACGATTCAGTGGAGGAAACAAATCCAGTGCATTGCCACTGCTAGGTTGGGAGAATTGGAAACTCCAAAATCCTCAAATATGGTTTAAAAAGAAAACACCTATTGGTGAATTCATGAAAATATCGGTATGTAGTGAGTGAGTAACATTTGGAGTGAACATATTTCAAACAGTTTTCACCAAAATAATTCATCATTAAAGGATCTATGTTTTGGCATTTTACCAGACAACATGTAGTTTGTGATGTCACAATGTAAAATTGCATGCAAAGACCAATCAGATTTTCCAGAGGGAGTGTAATATGAAAAATATTACATGGCTTTATGCCACTGCTACTGCATGATACATGTGATAAATATAAATATAAAGATAAACTTGCTCACAAGTCTTATTGTTGTTGTTTTTTAAATTGACAAAATTCGCCAAAATACGAAATAGTGTAGTGGCCCTGGAAGGGTAAAGTGACCATAACAAAAATTCAATCTTGTGTCCTTTGTGTTGTTTGAGTTACCATTACTGGTAATATTCATGAGGTGCAAATTTGTGCACAGATGAAAACACTAAGGCACTGCTATACACATCCACAGAATTAGCCTACCCTTGACTCCCATGGTTATGTGATGTGTTTAATGTGGATGAGTACAGCAGTGCCTAAGGTATTTTCTTACATACCGGTAGGTACTGTAAAATACTCCATTTTCACAATGGTCGATTAAAAATGAAATCCATCGAATTTACCTTTTCTTCCTATATTTTACATTCAACTAGTCAAAAATCAGTGGAAAAAATTCCATACAAAACACCTCGTCTTTTCAGTGAAATTTAATTCTTGCAAAAATATTTGCAAAGTATTTTACAGTAGTTGGTCGGATGTTAAAGATAGTGTGCACCAGCGAATGGAATTAAAAGCAGTGACATTCATTCCGGTATATCCCTGTTTATTGTTGTCAGTTTAACTGTTTAAGTACTGCAAGCATATATCTTGAATCCAATCTGTGTTTCTCATTCCCCAACAGAAACGTGACATCCTTTCGAGAACCAAAAAAGCCAGAGATATGTTGAGAATTGACAACCACAGACTTCGACAGAAGTCTGGACTTCTTGGTAACGAGTCATTATTGAGAGATTTTGAAGAACGCAAAGATGAGGGCGATGAACTCAAACAGAATCTTGAAGCCTTGAAAAGACGACATGCTGAACTTGTACTCAATACTAATGGATTCAGAAAGAAAATTGAACATGCTAGGGCTGCAAGAAACTAACTCTATTAGAATTAATTTGTATATAAGACTATTGTTTAAATCCTATGTTACTCCAACTTTATTTCATGCCCTTCATCTCAACACTACCAGAATTGTAATTATAACATAAAATTTACTGTATGTATATATTAAGACATCTTAAAATTAAAATTTTGTATTCTTTGTGAAAAAATAATTACGTAGTATGTGTGATTGTTGTTAAGACTATATTTGTAATGTCGTAAGTTCCAGCTGCTGCCAACTATGATTCTTATGTGCTTGTGAAATATTTCTATATGACAGTTTAGTATCGGTATATTTTCCAGACCTCCCCCCCACGATTGATTCAGCGTTTGCAGTCAATATGAAACTGACTGGACTATAATCACACATCCTATAGTGACTAGGCTAATACCTGCGTACTTCTGATCATGGGTACTGTCCAATTTTAATTTTGGCAGTCTGGGTCAGTCTATTCAATTTTAATACATGTATTACTTTTGGTCATGTGACCAATTGTTCCGGCTGTTATGTTTATTTTTGTAAATCTTTGGCTTTATGCTAATTGTAAAACAGCCAAATTCATATGTCGCAGGGCTCAAGTTGAGAGAACACTGTTTCATGGCCAAAAATGTATATAGAAAAATCTGCATTTTTTAATGCCTCAGTCAAGCTCAAGCCCTGTTCTAGATTACCAGGTACAGTGGATTACAAAATAAACTGATAATGAAAACAACTCCTTGAAATATTCTTAGCAGTCTTTGAAAATACTTGAAAGCATTTGATGAAAGTGTTTGAATTTTAAATTAAATTGTAGGCTTGTGATCACGTACATGTACATGTAATTGTGTTGAAGTGTAGAGTATCCTATTATGCACAAATTTTCCCTTTTAGTAATATTTCACGCAATTCCTTCACTCAAAATCTGATTGTAAAGTTTTCACAAAATCAATCCTCCATAGGCACCATGATTCAGAACAGTTGGTATTCTAAAATGGAAGATGTCTCGTTATATTCAGTCATATCTACTACAACCTGTAAAGTTTTCACAAAATCAATCCTCCATAGGCACCATGATTCAGAACAGTTGGTATTCTAAAATGGAAGATGTCTCATGATATTCAGTCATATCTACTACAACCTTAAAGCGAGAGGGTCGTCACCTGCTAAAACACGCGCTAAAAACGCAAAGGCTCATGTGTAGATGCTTGTTTGTAAACAATGACACGCTATGGCCATCTGACGCATGCGTAGGTGACAACACCCCCGCTTTAATTTAAATTTTCATCCTCAAAAAAAAAAAAGCATGTAAGGGAGGTGGGTAAAAACGAAAAAAAATGTATTCTGTCAGTCCCTCTGTAATTTGTTAGCGGGACTGATTCTGTACATGATTTTTAACACCCAGCAGGGATACTGGAATATTCCAAGAAAAACTGATAGGAAGATGGCTATTTTCATAGTCAGTTTATTTTGGCACACACTGTATGACATTTGATGTTTCTTTCATATCTAGCAGTCTGTGGAAAAAATATCTATTTCAATCACGGATTAATTTTAATAGTAAACTTTTATTTATCTACAATTAAAAAAAAGGATTCCACAATACACTGGTTAGCTACAAAAAGGTTTGAGCTGGTTAAAAAATTAAAAAATTTACACAGACACTGAATAGTTACACAAGTTCGAATTGTTGATAAAATGTAAAACTAATAAATTAGCCAAAAAATATAGAAGACAGTATGCACAGCATTCTATTAACCATCATCATAGAAAGAAATTACAGACAGTGTATATACAAACAACTTTAATATTAAAAATAAAATACAAGTGGTGTAAGTTTGGAGATTCAAGTGGCAGTGCCCTCTATCAGTACAATTTTTTTAAAAGCCTGCTTGCACTGGCAATTTCTACACTAGATTTCAATTAGTAAGTATATTATGTATAGGTATACAATAGGCCATTTTGAAAGTAACATCATGTCAGCCAAACTTCTATCGTAAAGATTTATGGGTATTTTCAGAGTAAAGTAAAAAAATACTCATAATTCTTTACAATAAAACCATTTGACTGAACACTGCGCTATTCTCATATAGGACTATTGTCATGTATGAAAGTGTGCAGCCAACCATACAGCCACCACATTAATCAATTATGTTGCACGTATTCAATTTCGTAGTGTTAGGTCTATCTAGTGCAAATTCAGACTTGGATTACAGAGGGTGAAATATAATTAATGGCTAGTCTTGGTCTAGGGAGTTTTGTAGAATATATGTCAGTTTTCAGCCAGTCTAGGTAGGTACTGTGGCAATGTTTAGCATGACAAGTCTTTGTGTATTATTTTATATCATCCTCTGAAAACTACTATCAGCTATTGGAAATAGATTTTTGATGTAATTTTAGGCAGTTTTTTATGTGTTGTACTGGTTCAAGGGAGACAGCACAAACAACAGCATAAGAACGTTTTCACAATAGATAATGAGCTTATCTGTGTAAGAGATTGGTCAAACAGACAAAAATGTGAACAAATGATGGTGTAGTGTGCCAGCCTATTTTTTTTTTGATGTTTGCACACTTGCCCATATTGCTCAACAGTACACTATGTCAGACTAACAATACACTATACCAGAAAGAACTAACAGTTCAAAACACTATGCCAGGAGTTCCAGTTGTTCCCTGACCGTTGTAGCTTGTTGCTTGAATTCCTTGATTTTCGTTTCAACTATTTTCATCTGTAAGAGAATGAAACATGTAAAGGTTAACCATTTAATGTCATGTGATATTTTTATAATTTATTGACTCTTCCAAAATACTGATACATGTATAACATAGTTATGACTTCATTCATTGCAACTGTACACAGATAATATTTTCAAATGAAGCACACTTCAAATAAAAATTGGGTATAATGTGGCTTAGAAAAATTTTACTTATTTTAAAAGCAAATATGGTTTTGGTGTTTTGGGACTGTTATGCACAATATTTAATGGTAAATCGCAGAATATATGATTAGCTGTATGAATATATATGATGCTTTGGGCTGTCCATCAATTTTGTATTTGAAGTTTATTTGCGATAACAATGCAAAACTATTTTCATTACTATTTTGTTGATAACATGAGAAAATTTTACCGCCAAAAGACAAAATCATAAATACTATAGGCAAGAACTGCCTGAGATACTTATAAAACAAGGCATGCATGGCACATTCCCAGTAAGTTATCAAATTTAAGATATATAGTTTTGTGTATAGTAACATACTTTGAACATAAACATGTCAGAAGTATGGATCCAGAAGATGATGCTTGATTATGATGATTTTTTTACATTAAAATGATTGATATTCAGTCAACATGTATCTGATAGTCAAACAAGTACTTATCCATATTGAGAAAGATATTGCTCTTAATTCAATCTAGAGAACAAATTGACGGGCATAGAGTCCAATGTATGTACCAAATTTCAACTAAATCCATCCATAAAGGACGAAAGATCTAGTTCCAGAATGCCAGAAATGCTTTATTTTTTTTGCAAAAAAATGGCCACCATTAGGCCATTTAGAATCAAATATAGTTCCGGACACGCGCACACACAGAGGTCAATCCATAAATAACTGAAAAGCAAGGTCTGTCCACACAGCCTAAATCCGCTGAACAGAAAACAGACAAATAAATGAAAATGAGTTGGATTAAATTTGGGCTGACTGAAAGTAAAGCACCAGGATATAAAAAAACAATTTATACTTACTAATCTGTTTGTTTGTCTTGAAGATTCAAGTTTTAAAAACTCTGCCATTGTTAAATCATCTTCTTTCTTTTTCTTTGATAAAAATGGGCATTGACCTGAGTGCGATAAGTGTTCTTCCCTGTAAGAATAAGTCAATGAAAAAATAAACATGTTTATAAAAATACACACATCTTATTACAATACAATTTACATACCGTCTAAATTTACAGTGTAAAAATGGGTAGGGTTTTGGGGAAAACCGTCAAAGGCAAGATCTTTATCATTATCCTTGTTGTGCCATGTTTTCGATCATACGCAAACTCTCGATACAAAGCAATTTCTGCCATGATGTTTTTCAGCATGATTTGCCCTGAAACAACGTCCTTTGACCTAACAAGTCTTTCATTAACAATCAAAATGCTGTGTCATACTGATGAAATTTTTTGATTGTTGACAATGTTATTTTTTTTAACGCAATGCGGAAGTGAATTACCATGATGTTCAAATACAAACTGTTATTTCAACGAAACTACAGCGATTTTTTTCCTCTAACAATTGGTGAATCACAATTTTCGAAAGGTGAACTGAATGTGTAGGAAGTATTTAAACACATTTCATGGTCGCCAACAGATCACTTCAAAGTATAGTTTACTCGTTCACAACCCATTCACGATAGTCTCAATGGGCATGATTATTTGGAAAAGTAAAACAATGTCCAATGACCAGGTTTCACGACTTGATGGTCACATTTTTGTTGTTTCGAAAGCTACCATTCAAAGACATAAGGATTACTTCAGTATTGCAACATCAGGGTTCATCCTTAGTAAATAACAGAATAGAACCATGTTGCGTTCATTTGCCATGCACTCTATCAAGCACAATTTTTATGCAATGAAACACACTTTTTACATGCATAATTTAATAAATGTTATTGATGCTCAGTAAAAACACTCTGGGCCTATAATCGGGGATGCCTTCAACTCATTAAATGTCTAAAATAGAGGGGTGGGCTTATACATGTACTCAGGGAGGAGCATATAATTGGGGAAGTACAGTACATGTAATTGTCAACGCAATGGACACTCCAAGAATAAGCCATGATGGAGTCACTGACTGTTGGGTTTTAAGCAACTTTCATTTACCAAAGCAGCCAGGTAAAAATAGAGGACACTTTACCATGGATCATCATCTGGTTCCCATCCATCCAATTCTTTGAAGCACATAAAGCATTTGGCGAGATCTGGTTCTTGATCAGTAGGACAATGAAAGAAACCAGCTGCAGCCATCTAGAACAGAACATGACAAGAAATTATTCATCTTGAATTATTTTTCTGCTATATTTATGTAAATACACTGATGACAATAAGCCATATTCCGCTCACTGCAAAATCTTGTGTGGCCAAGCTTTACGTCCTTAGCAACCAGTTTTGATCACGTGACACGTAGCGCCATTGTTCACTCTGTCGTATTCCGTTCACACAACAATATCAACTGTACAAAAACGCTCTTACCCGGTACGTTGAATGCAAGAGCGATTCTTGATTTCAACTAAAGGATTACACGAATGGTGTTTTTTTTTCCGAAAACCAAAAACAGAACCTGTGATCGGTGGATCAGTGCCTATTCTCGTGCCGATGACTTTTGAAACACACTTGATCCCGCAAGACATTTACTCAGAAAATTGTAATTATTTAGGGGTTGGCTCATACCCGAACACTCACTCGGAAAAGGGTGCACATGACAATGTTGATTGACTATGCGAAAGACTGGGGGAGATATACCGTCTCTGAAGGATATAAAATTACGAAATTATTTGCATTGTTATTGAACGAAGAAACAGTAGTGGTCACAAAAAAATATGCACATTTTATTACAATATTAATTACGTACCACCTGAATTTACGAGGAAACACATTTGAAGTCAAAATCTTCATTATTATGTTCATTGTCAAATGTTTTGGATCGTACGCAAACTCTCGATGAAAAGCACTTTCCGCCATGACAAATTTTTGCACAATTTGACCTAATGGGTCAAGTCTGTTATTAACCAATCAGAATGCTGTAATTCTCGGGAAATTCCCCAAGACTTTCTGGTAATGCAGTGCGGAAGTGAATTATCAATGTTGATGCACATTGTACAATCTGTTGGAATAGATTTCAGCGAAAAAACGACATGATTTTTTCAAAAAACTGGTAACTAGCAATTTTCACTTTTATTAACAGGGCATTGTCAATTTTCACTTTTATTAACTAGTCTTTGTCGAAGTGTAGTTTACGAACAGTTACTGTGGTCTACACATTCACAACATATTCAGGGTGGTCGATATCCGCTGTATCATATAAAAGACGAAGTTTTATGATTAGACAGTCAAATTAAGCATTTTGAAGGAGATGGGCACTTAGCCGAGCATGCACTTTATCGGAGGCAATGTTCCGACATTGTCACATCTAGACCCAATAGCAGCCACTGCTGTAGTATTTGATGTTGAAACACCAAATTTACGTAAAAGGCTCTTGAGTCGTGGCACTATTGCTACATTCACACGACTGCATTTTATCGGAGCCCTACGGCTCAAGCCAGCAAAAATGGACATGTATACGCGTTCTGCTCGAGCCGGCTCGAACTAGTTTGAGCTCCGATAGGGTTGAGCCCCAACATGGCCCTCGACTGTGTATACACAGGGCCCAACTATCAGAACCCAAATTACGCCCTCAATCGTCTTCTTCAAGTACCCCGGTAACCTCTCATTTCAATTATGGTGGAGACAACATCGTTCGTAACTTCACACAATTTCCGATTTGACAAAGAGGTACACGCCATAATATTTATTTTGGCAGAGTAAATAAATACTGTGATAGATTGACAGGTCAACGGGAAAAATTGCTTACAAAATTATGCAACAAAAATTTGAAAGAAGGACTGAACAGATCCAATGAAAATTGAAGAAACTGTTTAAAGACACCAGAGATAACAATCATAGAAGTGGTCACGCTATGTTTCTAGTAGGTTTAGATTGATAGATTCACACATATCATAACAGTTGAACAATAACTTAAGCGAATAGGCTGTAACACATTTTAGCTGCCGTGTTTCCTGTTTATACTAGTACCATGGAGGTATAAACAGTTTATATCTCCATACTAGTACCTAATTCATAACACCAGTTCCTTGTCTTTTCTACCTCCATGCTCAAACTCGATCGTGACTGTTTCTTTTTTTTCTCCCAGCTCAAAAGCATCATGCCATGTCAAGAAAGAACACAAGCATGACACCAACATCGTTTTCAGCCATATGACCGTATGAACGCATTGGAGATAATCTCCTGTTAATCTGTGGGAGGAGCAGTAGTTCGGCTTCGCGGCTTTCGCGGTAATTGGGTTTCGTATCTGTAGGGTTTCGCGGGGAGTAGGGCCTTGTCCCAGTAACTGGTCCTTTCATCCTTGTTGAGAATTAAAGTTTTATGTTTCTTTAATTAACAACTGGCACTATTCTGGGAATACCATCCTAGCAGGAGTTCCAAAATAAGACCCATGCTCTGATAATGCCTCTAGTTTCAAAGACCAATAAACATTACCATTATGATCTTATTGGTGTTGCAAAAGATAGTTGAATATTGTAAATTATAATCGTTTTCCAATATGGATAAATTGTAGTTCGTAACAAACTGTATAACTCAGTCTCAACAATGAAATAAAGGAATGTATACATTTACACTATGTATACTTATTTATTATACTTTTATTGCTACTGTACTGATAGAAATACTGTATTTCTAAAGCAACAGCAAAAAAAAAAATGATTTTTGATTAGCTTCGTCCCAAATGTATCTTCTCCTACAAATTCAGGATAAAACTCCTCAGACATAGCTCATTCTACTCAGCTTGAGTGTGGGCACAAAACTACTATTTGAATTTTTCGTATCTTTTTTCATTACCGAGAAATTTGACCCCAAAGTTGGGGTTACAGTTCACCAAGAATTGTTTTTTAACTCTTCTGTGATTTTTTTGGCTTGGCTGATTTTGATCATACTTGACAGGCAGGTCGTACCGCCACTAATTGGAATACTTTTGCCCCAAATTTATTATCTATTACCAGTTTTGTAATAGCAGTGTTTAAATGGTCATGCTTTTTATTTTGGCTATGTTGCCTGCACACCGGTAAGAGATCACCAGCGCCGACATTGTTACACTGTATCAACGTAATCCCAACGCAACTTTGAATGAACTGTTAATGCTGCCTTCAATCTAGAAAATACTATTGCAAAACGGTTGGAAATAACAAATTTAACAGCAGAATACGTCCTAGCAATAAAATAAAGTGACTTCTAAAAACTGAGTGTTTTTTTGGCGAACTTTGTATACGGTGTCCGGTGCCTACCGTGGCAACAGCCGAAAACATGTTTGTTTTTTTTAGCGGAGCCGATGGCCAACCAGCCTACCGGCTTGTTTTAGTATAAGGTAGTAACAACTTGTCAATAATTATAGGATGATTTGTAGGCATAAAATTGTTATGTAAACTTCATTCATTAATGGAATACTGTGCGATGACGCTATTTTCAGGGCCGAACTGATTCAGATTCCTATATTGACTATGTTCCGGGCTGTTTACTAGTACATTTGTACCAACCTACTTACTTGTCAGTGTCTAACTGTTATATACAGCCATGGAGCTAATTTATAGCTCCATGATACAGTCCAGAACACGTCAGAATAGTTAAAAAAAGTCAGCTAATGAAACGAATCAATGTTGTGGTTATCTCTGGTGCGACTGCAGTCTTTGGAACAAACTTGAGGGACTGTAAAACGCAATTTACACGTGAATTTCCCAACAAAGGTTTAAATGTTTTAGTTGTCTGTGGTGTGGCACTAGTGTGGAAAGCTGTCGAATAAAATGGCAACAACCTTCGAACACATTGTTATGCTAATTTAATTTCCGGCTTGTTAGTTGACAAAGAAATGAAAGATTTCTTGAATGTTCGCCGATAGCTACGTGGATTTGAACCAAAATGTTATCGACAAGACTCAGAATGCGACAGTGACAGTCACTGAAACGTAATTGAAGGCAAATGAACACGTCAAGCAAAAAAGACTTTTTTCAGTCGTGTCGTAAAATGGAGGCACATACCATTTTGACTCTTGAGGGGAATGGAAATCAGTTGATTTGAGGGTGTCACAATAAGCGAGGGAGTAAATCGTTTTTATGCTACGAAAAAAATGAAGACCTTGAACGTACTTTTTGGACTTTAGTACAACGTCATTTTTGTTTGATTACCTAGCGTTTTTAGGTCCATGTGCTGCAATTTACAGAGCACATATCTGAGCGGTCGTCCCTCAGCAAATAATGAAGCAAAGGCATTTTCGATGTCAAAATCGCGAAACTCTCCCCCTTTACGCAATCTGGGAAGTTCGAATTACTAAATGAAGTACAGGACGACGAAGCTTAGATATCCAGGAACCAACACATACCAAAAATTATATCTCAAAAGTGAATATTTGTGGTGTATTTTAAGTCTAACCGGACCATAAGTTGGAATTCGCTAGTACTCTAAATATCCAAATATATTTTAGTATACTATAAGGTAGTAATAATTATTGATATTTTACTCTGCGTCCTAATTTGCATAGTGATGTCATTGGATGCTGATAGGAAGAAATATATGATACAACAAACATCACAATTGCGTGAAATTAGTTAGATCGAAACGTGTCCCAGTGTCGGCGACAGGCTTTGTAAACGGTTATGTTTTGGTTTGTAGAGTAGACAATTATGATAAACAAATACATTGTAGCAAACATAACGCCCAACCGTCCACTGCACGTAATATAAATCGGTGACGGTAAATGTTGTATTGGCGACGCACATTTGTGTTAGGCTAGTTTATAGGGGGCATAGCTCTTCTGTGTCGATAAAAATCCTAATGTCTGAAAACAACAAATTTGATGACACTATTATTAAACTAAAAAACCACCACAAAGACTAAACGCCGACACAAAAAAGAGCTACAGACCCATAGCTAAATCAAACTGTTACCCTCGTTAAAACACGGTATAACTCTTTCTGGAAGATGTGGTGGCCCTAAAAAGGGCAGTTTTGTACAGTTTCTGAGCTAAACGAACAGATATCCCGTTGCACTGAAGAATGATCTAGTGTCAGCTAGTGTAATTTCCTCGATGGCAGAGTATATAGAATATGGAAAATTTTCGAAGCTGATTAAAGACAACGGTAGTCGCTCTAAACACCTTTCTATTTTGTTAAAACAAAATTTCCCGGACTATTGCACACACACAAATGTTTTTCACAACAATGATGACTGTACACGCTCAACGCGAGTTCAGAGAAACTTTCACTTCCTGAACTCAAATGGGTGCCAGACTGGGTTGCCAGGCCAGGGTGCTAGACAGCTCCAGGTTATTACAGGATTTAGTTATCGGTATATTTCGAAAATTGACGAACCGTTACCATCAAAATCTTGTTTTTATACGAACGTGTCACATTACGGGTTTCTTCGGCACAAATGAGATCACAGTTACCACACCTTTGAGTAAAACGGTTTGTCTCATTAACCTCCGCCTTTTCGTCGCTGATTGTTTTTAAAATGTAGCCAGTTTGTTATTACAGTTATACCGACCGACAAACGCATAATCAATCAAACGGACCGACCGTTCCAAACTAATTTCACGCAATTATGCCGTTCATTGTAGTAGATGTAAAATATAATTTAATTTATAAATCGCTCCTTAGGGCCACTCACCCATAAATCTAATCCTAACCCTGACCCTCAAGTACCCCTCCTTCATTTCAATTGTATATACCCCTCTTTGGTCACTTATAATTATTTGGAGGGGTTAGGGGTGAGGGACCCTAAGGAACTCTTTCCTTATTAAATAAAAAAGGTTAAGATACAAAAAACAGTTGTAGACTGCTGTGATTTAAAAAATCTACCTTCTTTGGAGTGCATTGGCAATCTGAATCGAACGGCCATTCTTTGAAAGATGCCAGGCGACTAGCTTCCATATTCATAGAGAAATCAGGCATTTGTTCGACAGTGTCACACGTTTTATCGGAAGTTTTCTCCATTGTGCGATGAAATTCTGAATTAATTCTGAGGAGCTGCTGAGTCGCCTTGATAATATTTTGAAAATGGCGGTCGTTAACTTGGCGCATGCGCATTGACCAAAAGATCAACCTCGAATAAACATGTTATTTCTTTGCTATTTTCATACAATTGTACTTCATAAATTTATCATCTTATTATCCCCAGATACTAATAATCTCAGTATAATAAATATTTCATTAACATCAACAAAAAAGTATTAGCTCATGTAAAATGAATTTTTAAAGTAAATTTAAAGTTGCCTGGAAGAGGAGGAAAACAATCAAAGACGAGACGAGTGTTTCATTTACTGTCAATTTGTTGTTATTTACAAAGTGATAAGCGATTCAAATTCATTCTATTCTGATTGAATTTCCAGATTACAGTATCAACCACTCTAGCAGAGATTTGTGGACTTTGGACTAAGGTAGGGCATATATATATATATATATATATATACTGATAATCATTGACGCTTGAGGCAAGAGGTCATTGCACTCTTAGGTCTTTTTTTTGTGTTCAAGAGGTCGGTGACCGTAGGGGGCGGCGGGGACCTTGTCGTCGGAGCCGGATATGCTCGGATATGGTGCCATGTACCGTACGTTCGAATCTCATGTAAACATTTAATTGTTACATGACGTATGAGACCATATCGAACACGTCGCATTGCGACGATCGACCATCACCCCTTTTTCTTGTAAAGGGACTTGATCTCAGACTCGTATTCCATATACGGGGTGGTGAATTATTATTATTCCCCATCGATTGCCCTGCTAATGCTATTGTTAATGTTAGTCTGGCCATGGACGTAGTACAGGTCTCGAATTTCTTGAGGGATGAAAATAAATTGATCAGTACTATTTTCTTTCCGGATTTCAAATACTAAAATCGGGGTGGAGGGGGGTAATAAAAATAGCACTGATCGATTTATTGGGATTTTCAGCCCTCATGTGATTGTGAGTCAGACATAGTGTATTGTTAGACTGAGGTACACAGGTGATGCATATAATATATTACACTGACCTACATCTAGTCACAAGGGCCCAACATTCTAGAGGCTGGGCAAGGGGGTAGCTGGTACAGTTTTACGGGAAATAAAAAGGGCTTTTTACAATTTACAAGGAAAAAAAAAAAGTTTTTACAGTTTACAGTGAAAATTGAATTTTGCAGTTTCGAAAATGTAATTTCCCTGGATTATTCTTTAAGACCTTTTTTTATTTGGATGGAAATTCTTGTACGTACCGAGAAAAATGACACATTTTTACAGTGTACGAAAAAAATACTTGATTGATTACGTTGTACGTCTAGCCTGTGATTACAGAATTACGGAATTTATTTTTTCAATTTACGTTGTACGAACAAAAAAATATTGCAATTACGTTGAATGAAAATAACCCTTGCCCCCCCTCGTTTTAGTCATGTGGTTTTTTGGTTGGTTGCTTAAGTCATTTGCATGGAAATCTATGGGGTGGAAAAACCAAGTCCTGATACAGGGCCTTATCCTTGTTTGAGATATAATAGAAATTATAGAAATTGAAACAGTTCAGCAATGTAATGCAAGCACATACATGCATCTATATGATCCAGTTTGTTCCGATTTGCATGATTCGTCGAACATTGAAGATATGTTTTTGCTAAGCTAGTAAAACCATGATAATTTTTCATTGAAAATGCCTACTGTGAGAGAAGAGAGTGTTTTTATATTCTCAGTTATACCAGTTTATTTATTAGTTACCTCATTTCTTTGTATTTCTTATGGTGATTTATAAGTCTGTTGGGGTGGGCAACGATTTACATGTTATTTTTGTGTGTTTGTCATGTGTAAACATCACAGTTTCTGAAATGTTAGACAGTCGACTAAAGCTAGTTTATAACTACAAGAATCATAAATGTGACAGTAATTTTGGAAAGAATTATGGAATATAAATACATACAAACGATTAGAAGTGTGATGAAACAGCTTATAGATATTGTCATTAAAAAATGAAAGATCTTGCATAACTGCCTTTTACAAAATGTTTTTTTTTATTCAGTATAATAATACAAATATTGACTGCATCTTCAATCGGTACATGGGTAAGAGATCAGTGGGGCAATAGATAGTGAAATTGACATATAATTATGTGACCCACATTATGTGAGTGTCATCCACATACAGGTACGATTTGGACACACTCAAATAATGCATGAAAACTGACTATTAATTTTCTGTAAAATTTATCAACATTAATTTGCAATCTTCATTAAATTGTACCACTACCAATAACCTGGATGAATGTTGCCTTCACTGAGCATGCTAGTCATAATTAAAAGTGTAACCCTTCATTCGATAAAATTCGCCAATATATCTGGTGGTAGTAACATAATTCAGGGTTTTTGTGGGCTGAAAATAAGTAGTAATTATGTTTTAATTACTTTTATACCGTAGTTGTCCGGGTAAGCGCCCAAGGTCCTGAACATTGAAAATTGTCAAAAAATAGGGATGGGCGTATGCCTTGACACCCCCTGCAAAAAAACAAAAATTTGCAAAAATTGACAACACGCAGATTGAACTGTGGCAGGGAATAGAATGGCAAATGAAAACATGCAACGGAAATAAATGAACAATATGCGACATTAGAAGTAAAACAAAAATAATTTATTGCTTATAATGTGACAGATAAACCAGAAATAATAAAAATCGACAGTGAGGAATCATTTGAATTAGGATTTCCACGCCACAAACACTCCCAATACGTGTTAACTCAAAATGAACTAAAATGTCAGGGGTTAAACTGCATAAAATTATTTCCAGTTTTGAAAAATAACGGATCAACAGTCATACTGTACACGAACAATAATAATTTATGAATTTACACAGTCAAAATTACGAAAGTTCATAGTTGTTTGAAAATCTCTATTTGCATGTTTAGTGCCATCTTCGCCTACGTCAAAACCCTCCAAGTCCAAGTTGGCATCACTGTCGCCATCCAACAAAATCCCTACAGATTCATCTTGAGGTTTGTCGATGTCGTCGCACACAATTTCACTGTCTGTCAGCTTGGCATGTCTAATCACAAAAAAGAAACAAAGAAAAATTGGATCGCGTGCAAACGACTCTGCTCTATGATCTTTGATCTTTAAGCATCTGCTGTACTGATTGGCTAAGAATGTCATCACTACTAGTGTTCCATCATAGAGGTCAAATCATCAGCGTGACATTGCAAAATTGCTGGCCCTAGCTATGGATTCGCAAGCTGCTACTAAATATTTTATAAGCCAAAATAACATGCTCTCAAACACTCTCCCAGGAACGGGTTGCTACAATATTGCAACATTGCCGTTTCATTAATTTACGGTAAATTAAATAAACAGAAGGCAGAATGCGAAATTACCTATTTTGCTGTCACGGCTATTTCGCGTTCACCCCTCGTTTTACACAATTGACATTTATTTTTCAAGTTTCAAGAATCACAACAGACTGCAAGGAAGTCAACTGTTAATACAACAACAACAAAAATAGATTTTTGTTATTTTTGTTATTACAAGTGTAAAAAAGACCCCCTGGGCGTATGACCGGACATGACCTCAATTTCTTTATTGTATCAAAATTGGGAGATGGGCACTTACCCGGACAACTACAGTAGGTTAAACTATTGTCTGTGGAAAACGATGCAGCAATTTTGAGAACATTATTTGAACGTCCACATATGGCAGAATAAAACCTGGATGATAACATAAGCAGATCTTCATACAAAATATTGTCACTGTTATATGTATATATGCACATGCATTTTAGCATTTATCTATTATAGATAGCCATGAATGGCTGTCAACAGTTATACTGCATTATCATCTTTGGTTCTTAACTTTAAATACAATATGTAAATTACTTAGTTAATTTTTTTATATTATGTAAATTAATTTCAATAAATCGACTTGAACGTATGGTTGTTTTTTGTTAGTTTTTTATTACTCACTTGATGCTTTGCCAGGTACAGACACAGATGGTGTATATATAAACGAAAACTTGCTTCTAGAATACACATAATTTTGGTATGATGTTGCTTGTTCAGTAATTTGCTCAGAAGTTCTACTTCCTTTCAGAGTGATTCTTAAATTTTAATTTTTCCCTGATATTTCCAATGACACAAATTTGATCCCAAGAAAAAAACAAATTCCGTATTTACTGAATTAATAGCGTGTACTGCGTAAATGACAAAAGTGTCAAAATAGGTCATATTTGAATGACGCACTGTACATTAAATGTAACTTTTGGTTAAATGTACATGTAATTCAGTCAGAGATGTGCTCCTATTATAGAGCAGATACAGTATAGATTCACTTTTATATTTTTGAGCAAAACCAACTTTTAATTGTGTAAAAATGTAACCCCAATCATAAATACCGGTAAGAAAAACAAATACAGAAATTTCTCATATATATTCTATATCATGCAGTGTAGATTTGAAGTGTTTTATGAATATAAATAATTTATATCTGTATATTATGCTTGACAATGTTATTTATTTTTACAGGAATATTTTTATCTTTCAAATATGGCTGATCAACCACCACCACCTTACCCAAATATGGCTGATCAACCACCACCCCCTTACCCAGGGACTGGTGAGTATAAATCTATCCTACCCCTCTTGGTCACAAAATAAATTAATTTAATCCAATATCTATATCTGTGCCTTACATTTAGTTAGCTACAATCTGAATTGTTAGCCACAATCTGAAATATGAGCTATAATATGAAATATTAGCTACCATCTGAAATATGAGCTATGATATGAAATATTAGTTACCATCTGAAATATGAGCTATGATATGAAATATTAGCTACCATCTGAAATGTGAGCTATGATATGAAATATTAGCCACAATCTGAAATATTAGCTACCATCTGAAATATGAGCTATGATATGAAATATTAGCCACAATCTGAAATATTAGCTACCATCTGAAATATGAGCTATGATATGAAATATTAGCCACAATCTGAAATGTTAGCTATGATATGAAATATTAGCTACCATCTGAAATGTGAGCTATAATATGAAATATTAGCCACAATCTGAAATGTTAGCTACCATCTGAAATATTAGCCACAATCTGAAATGTTAGCTATGATATGAAATATTAGCTACCATCTGATATGTGAGCTACAATATAAAATATTAGCCACAATCTGAAATCTTACCTACCATCTGAAATGTGAGCTATAATATGAAATATTAGTCACAATCTGAAATCTTACCTACCATCTGAAATGTGAGCTATGATATGAAATATTAGCCACAATCTGAAATATTAGCTACCATCTGAAATGTGAGCTATGATATGAAATAGTAGTCACAATCTGAAATATTAGCCACAATCTGAAATATTAGCCACAATCTGAAATATTAGCTACCATCTGAAATATTAGATACAATCTGAAATATTAGCTACCATCTGAAATGTGAGCTATGATATGAAATATTAGCTACCATGTGAAATATCAGCTACCATGTGAAATATTAGCTACAATTTAAAATGTGAGCCACAATCTAAAATATTAGCTGTAATCTAAAATGTGAGCTGTAATCTGAAATGTGAGCTACAATCTACAAATTATAACTACAGTCAGAGGTACATTACTTGGGGTTTGTAATACCAAGATCCCATTTCAATCTCGCTCTCGCATAAGCGTTCCAACTCAGACAAATTTGAATGCGCATGCCGAGGTAATTAGAATACTGGAATGTCCAGGTGGATCAAAATAGATGCTCAGGATATGACGGATCACGATAACTACATTTTCTGTACATTTTCGATGTATTACATTTTTAACTCCTGTGTGCGAAGCACAAAAAGGGAGTCTTTGCAGTTAGTGTGTCTGTATGTGCGTGTGTGTGTGTATGTGTGTCCGTCTGTTCCACTGATATCTCAAGAACCATACATCAATTTTTGATGAAACTTGGTGCATAGATGCTCTGGGTCAATGTGCAGATTTGATTAGGTTTTGGTAAAAATCCATGCATATTAATTACCTAATTTGCATGATAATTAGCTGATATTTAGCTGTTCCATGACTGTTCCACTGATATCTAAAGAACCACTCATTGGATTTTGATGAAACTTGGCACACAGATGCTCCAAACTAATGCGCAGATTTGATTAGTTTTGGGTAAAAATCGGTGCAATATTAATTACCTAATTTGCATAATGATTAATCAATTTTCGGCTTTTCCACTGATATCTCAAGTACTAATCATCATATTTCAATAAAACTTGGTACATAGATGTCATAGGACACTGCACAAACCTGATACTTTTTAGGGTAATATCAGTATATATTAATAAGCTAATTGCATAATTAATTAATTTTCAGCTTTTGATATTCAAGT